TTTCTATCAAAATGTTCCAGATGGAAATTACAAAATTTCACTTCCCGGCTCGGTGGTGCACACATACTGCTCTCCTATTGTTGGTTGTTATGTGCCGTGGAGTCGGTTCCGACTCATAGGGACCCTGCATAGGGTTTCTGAGGCTGTAAATCTTTAGGGAGCAGAAAGCCTCATCTTTCTCCTGTGGAACAGCTGGTAGTTTCGAACTGCTGACTGTGAGATTAGCAGCCCAATTCGTAACCACACTGGTCTCCTAGAATACTAAAAAAAAAAAAAAAAAAACCATAGACAAGACCCCTAATGTTCTAAAGAAAGGGAATTTAACTGCTCAGCACACAGACACACAGAACCACTGTTTCCAATTATTCTTCCTGGAATCTTTGCATTAACTGTGGATCTCAAACTTTCAGTAAAAATTCAAGGTTATCAAAAGGGTGAAGGAAAGGGGGACCAGAATAAGGGCAGAACAGCAGCTAAAATTAAAATAGTGATGAAGAATCAACCAAATACTACTCAGATTATCATCTCTGGTAACCACGCCCCACAAATTACCACCACTTCAGCCCACTAGGATTCCAGCAAAGAAGCCAACAGGGGAGAGGACACAAGGCCTCAGTTTATTATCATGAATCTCACTAGGGTTGTCAAGAATTTCCAGAGATTAATGTATACGAAAGCACTTTGTAAATTGGAAAGAGCTACGTGAAAAAACCATTGCCTTTGAGTCTGACATTGGGAGTCATGAACTTTGCAAGGAATCTGAACCCCCACGAAGCAGAAACAATGATGGGTTTAAGAAAGTAGCCTGACTAAGCAGGCACACCCTGACAAAACCACACTGGGGGGGGCGGGGGTTGGTGCTGCAGCTTCACAAGTCCTTCAGGAAGAGGCAAGCAGGTGGTTTATAAGAAAGCAAAAGTCATAGGAGAGACGATTTAGAAGGTCCATTTAGAGTCCACTCAATTCAGACCAGAGGAGCTCTGGTGGCGCTGTGAGCTTAGCACTGGGCTGCTGACCACAAGGTCAGCAGTTCAAATCCATTGTGGGAGAAAGATGAAGCTGAGTACTCCATAAAGATTTACAGTCTCAGAAATCCTAAGGGGCCCGTCCTACTCTGTCCTGCATAGGGGCACAATGAGGGGGAAATGACAACTTTATGGCAGTACATTGAGTTTGGTTCTGATTCAAATCATCCTGACTGAAAAGCAGGACCCAGGACTCTGGTCTGAGACAAACAGAATAAAATCACTCAATGAATCTCCTATGGATAAGACTGTTTACCTGATCATTTTACAGAAAACTGGGGCCCAGAGTGTTTAAGTGACTGACTGACCCAAGAGACCTTTTGTGACTAATGTAAAATGAGGGGAGAATTTAAACTAAAACTCAAGTTTCATTCCTAAACTTGTTTCTTATCATTTAATATCTGGGGGCTTTGTAGTGAGTATGTAATTGCTACTCCCCAAGATGTACATAGGTACTTAATGGTGGGCCCAATTGAGCAAGGCTCCAGAAACAGATGAGTAAACCATCTTACCTACTGAGCACTTACGTGGACCAGATACAGTGACAAATGATTGATAGGTACTATTTCATCATACTACCTGAGAAAATGGGTATTATTTCACCTATTTTACAATTAAGAAAACTGAAGTTCATCTAACTTGCCTGAGATAACAGGGAACGCAAATGTCTTCATACCCTATTTAAACCTGGATCTTTTGGACTCTGAAATCTGCTCTCTTGACCATCAGAAAACTTCCCTTGCCGTCATGGCAATTTTCATTGTGGCTTCTAAAGGGTAAGTAAGGACTCATAGTAACAACATGAGTCCTATGGTGGTGGCAGGGGTGGTGGGATGCTGTGGAGTCAGTTCTGACTCACAGCGACCCTATGTAGGGTTTCTGAGGAGCGGCTGGTGAGTTTGAACTGCCAACCTTCTGATTCATACCGATCTTGTAGTCCAATGCATATTCTATAGTGCCACACATGGTTTCCTAAAAATACCATCTGCTTGGCAGTGGTGGTGGTGTGCCGTGGAGTCAGTTCTGACTCAAAGAGACCCTGTATAGGATTCTGAGGCTATAAATCTTCACAGGCACAGAAGCCTCATCTTTCTCCCATGGAAGCACTGGTAGTTTCAAATTGCTAACTGTGAGAACAGCAGCCCCACTCATAACCACTCTGCTATCAAAGCTCCTTATATGTCCTATAGAACACACAGAAACTGAAACTCACAATTCTGACCAAGGACTTCTAGCTAATGAGGGCAGAGCCAACCTAGAATCCAGGTCTTTGTCTCCAATTTCCAAGGCTGCTCTAGAATGTGAGTCATGGGGTTGGTGGCATTTTGTTCACTACTGTTTAATTGCTACTCCCTGAGACATACAGTTGTTGTTAAGTGCCATAGAGTTGGTTCTGCCCATAGTAACCCTGTATAGATAGGGTTTCCAAGGCATGGCTGGTGAGCTTGAACCGCCAACCTTGCGGTTCAAACCGACTTTGCAGTCCAGTGCCACACCAGGACTCCTGAGATATACATATGTATTCAAAAAATAGTTGCTGGAAAAAAGAATGGAATCAAATGATCTATTTTAACTGTCAATCAAAATGACCTTGAGAGGGTTTCTTGTGCTTTCTAAGCCTCAGTCTCCTTGTGTGAAAAATGGAGGATGACAATACCCACACCTGCTAGGCTGGTGTGAGGACTGAACAAAACAATTCATGTGCAGCACTTGGGACCTCTGGGACTATCACAAGTACCCAAACTGTAAACTATTATTACTATTATTAATTGCCAGGTTTCCCCTACCCAGGTAGAGGATGTTCTGCTAGTAAAGATGTAGAATAGAAAACTGGGTGTCGGACACCCTTCTTCTCATTTCAGATCTACCACCACCTAGCTGTGTGACCTTGGACAAATCTCCTAATTTCCCTGTACTCTCAACTGTAAACTGAGGAATTTGACCATTCAATCATTTCAGAAGCATTTCTGAAGTACCTTCTCCAAGTAAGACATCACCTACAAAATTCTGTGATCCTAAGTAGTATCAAACGGAAAAAACTATCACAGTAAAACAAAACAGGCTCTTGCTTGTGTCAAGGTTAAAAAGAAACCCCAAATAGCCAAGTACATTACATCATCTCAATGAGCAATGTTTGTAAATACACAGCATTCAATTTTGAGACATTTGTGAGAGTGTGAAATTTTGAGACAATAAGGAATCAGTAGATACAGTCCCGTTAACACCTTTAAGTCCTGAACCTTCCAAAACTCAAACATGTAAAATCACTTTGCACCTTAGTCAAATGACGTGCTGCTGGAGAGAAATCTGGGAAAGACAAAGTTATTAACACTCCCTATGGCAACAGTTAAGAATAGGATATAAAAAGAGAACGACATATCTGGTTAAAACTGCAGGGGGGAATTCCAGGAGCAGAGTGCAGTGCATCTGGACAGGACATGGAGGCCAGTGGCCTATTGTTTACAAAAACAGCCACGGATTATGAACAGTGACAAGAGGCCAAGACCTCAATTATAACTCACAACCACACCTCTCCCAATCCCAGTTCAACCAAAGCTATCAATCACTCAACTCCCCAGCTCTGTAATAAACCTATCAATATCTGCAGTCAGGTGGCTAGAAGGTCCCTTAGGGCACCTCCAGCAATGACCACACTGATGGAATAAAAAGAATCCCTCAGGCGCAATAGGAACTTCAAACTACCTTTTAACCTTCCAAGAGGTAAGGCAGCTGACCATTTAACACTAGCCCTACCCCACCCCAGGCAATAGTTAGAGGGGAGCTATGGCCCTTCCCAAGTCCTCTATGATAGGAAAAGGTCTTCCAGCATTGGTGCAGGAAAAGGAGGGGCCCCTCCCTCTGTACTCTGAAACAAAGGAAAACCCATAGCTCCAACCATGTGGTTCAACAGTCAAGGCCACCCACCTCTCCCACTCCCCAGCGGAGGTCTCAATGGCTGAAACCACATGGCTCTTCCCAAGGACTGGCCAGAAAGGGACAGTGCTTTGCACAAACACATGCTTGGGGCCCTTTAACAAGCTAGAGTTGTTCCTAAGGGAAATGCTGGTTAAAGAAAGCTACCTGGGAATAGGCTGTGGACTCCCATACCCAATCTAGCCATCAACTCAATGTGGAAACAGGTCACCTGCTTTCTTTTTATTTTACCCTCCACATTTGCTACAGGAAAGAAAATGGGGTTTACAAAGCATGTATTCTGGAGCAAAGAGAGAGAACACAGAAGGGTTAAATAATTATGCCTTCCTATTTTGCAGAATCAACACCACCAGGCAACTCTAACATCCCAACTCCATTCAGATGTAGGTGAGGGTGAGGATCAGGTGTGGGTGGTGACCTTATTCTTTCTATTCTCTGACATCTGCCTATATGCTGGGTGACCAGGGACCAGGTAGATATGTACAGCACCCATGCACCCAAGCTGGTCATGAACTTTCTTTCTGTATCTGATACCAAAGTGAATCTCATACAGTGCATAAAAAAAATTTTATTTTTTTTTTAAACTGGCCTCTCCGAGGGTTCTCCAGATTTCAAGGTTACCCTTCTCAGCCGGGACTCCTTCAACCTCTGAAATACGCAAACACCTGTCAGATTTCAGTTGTCCTTCAAGGAACCCTGACGCAAATATCCAGAGGCAAATTGCTGTCTTTCTTTCTCCTAGAACCTTCGGCCCCTCCCCCACCCTTCCAACCTGGGGGAAAGGCTGCTCCCCTCAAAGCGGTCAAGCCAGCCCACAGAAGCAACCTGACACACCCTCTGAATGTTCCTTTCCGTAGTCTGCGGCCCCTAGCACTGCCCATCTTTGGGTGGGTCGGACCCACCTATGAAATCACCTCTGGGGTCAGCCTATCCCCCCACCTGCTCCACCCAGAGAAATGAGCACCCTGCAAATCGAGGAAATAAATACATGCCTCCTGGGTCCACACAGCATATGCATTTATTATTTTTCAAAACCCTTACCTTTGACCTGAGTATCGTACTCTGCTATGATCTCCTTATCTTTTTTGAATTTGGCTGGAGACGTCATGTTTTCCTTCTTTCTTCCAAAATCGAATTGTGAATTGATAGATCCACGGGAAAATCCAAGCACCGAAATCAATACCTCCAAGACCACTTATTCCAAGGGCAGAAGGGGCCCCTACGGTGGTCTCCAGCGCTCCGGCAAGCGTGGGTTGCGGGCTGGGCTGGCGGCTAAGGCGGGCACATGCAGACGGTGGACGATGGGGCCGAGCGCGGCGGCTGTAACTGTGCTCGTATTAGAGCCGGAGCCTCAGCCTCAGCCTCAGCCGGGAGAACTGCAGCGCCCGGAGGCTGGCCTGGGGTCTGACATCAACGACACAGGCGGGGAGTGGAAGTCCTTCCGCACAACAGCATGGTGTGGAGATGCGGGGGTGTGGACGCGCCCAGCTGTGTCCCCGCGAGGGAGTGGGTGCGTATCGGGGCGCCGGGAGAGGGCTGGGCGTGCTTCGCGGGGGGCTTTTTGTTGTTGTTTTGTTATACAGTCTCAAAGATGCTGCAAATCAAATCCCAAACGGGAGCCGCCGCCGCAGCACTGACTGGATCGGAAGTCGTTTGCTCCGGTTCACTTGCCTGTAAATGCAGGAAAGGGGGGAGGGGGAGGGAGGGCGATCAGCCTAAGCACAGATCCTAATCGCGGCGGGGGTAGGGTAGAGAACTACATTTCCAGGGCCCATTCAAATGCTGCTCGGCCTTCCGAGCTTAGCGTGGAGAGGTAGTGAGGAAGGAATATCCCTTCGGATTTTGTTTTAAGGCTAAAGAAATCACTTTGGAGCAGCCGCCAGCGCGGGCTCGGGGCGGGGACTGCGGCGGGAACGCGGGGCTCCGAGCAGTGACTGCGGCACCTCCGGAGTCCCGCCAGCGTTGGGCAATGGCCAGCTCGAGGGGGCCCTCCCAGTCCTGCCTCTGACACGGCCCCTGACCTCTGACTAGGGTACCTCCCGGGACATCAAAGAGGGGAGATCAAAGCCGGGGAGGGAAGAGCCACCCTGGCATAACTTTTTTTCCCCTCCCGCCCCTCCTCCCAGCTGTTTTGTTTTTGGTTGCTAGCTTCTCTTGGCAGCAAAATGTTTGGGGGGGGGGGGGCGGGGAGAAGGAGGGGAACAAGGGGAAGATCTGCAGGAAAAAGCGTGCTCCGCAAGGGACACATCCAGGAAAACAATGTGGTCGGCAGAAGCAGGAAACGGGTTAGAGGCGTTGGGAGCCGGGAAACCCGAGGTGTGTGGGGGAGTGGAATTCAGCCACCGTCTCCTCCAGCCAGGGACCAGAGAGATTCTAAATGCCACTCCTCAAATATTTTTTGTCACCCAAGCCCAGAGATCCTAGACACCGCACCCAATTCTAGGCTGTGTGTGTGTGTGTGTGTGTGTTGGGGGGGTGTGAATCGTGGGGAAGGAGGATCGGTGAGGGCCGCAGACCCGATTTCTGGCCCCCAGAAGGTTCCCGAGATCTGGCCCAGCGAAGGCCTGGGAAGCTGGAGGGAACCCAGGGAGAGCGCATAGCCAGGCGTCTCGCTAGCTGGCTTGCCGCAGCGGCGACTCTGCCGCCTTCCTCGCCCCTTTCCCTCTCTGCGCCGGGAGGAAGAGGCTCACGCCTTCCTCCAGCCACGGGAAATGGGAGACATCATCGTGAGCCTCTTCCCGCGGTGGCGGAAAGGCGGCATCGAGGAGGAGAGGGAGAGAGGCGGCATGGTTCAAGCGGGCAGGAAACGCGAGGGGTGGGGGTGTGAGGTTGGGTCCTGAGGTTGGACCAGAGCCCAGGAATAACTAAAGCTTCTGCACACGCTTTGAAAGCGGGAGAAGACGAGAGGAAGATTACCTGGAAAGGGGAAGTAGTGGGCCGTGATGTCACGTGAAGCGCAAGTACGTTAGCAACTTTGGGGACCAAGAATGGTCTGGAGATGGGATGGGTGAAGCAGGGAGGGCCCGGGGGCTGGAACAGGGCAAGAGTCCCGGAAGCAGTGCGGAAAACCCATCCCTCTGGCTCCCAGACTGTGTGACTCCGGCTATCTGCCAGGGTTTGGAAATCCGTAAAGAAGGGAGGAAGCTGAGGGTTACGGGTGATACCAACGACGAGAGCCGAAAGGTGGACTAAGGGTCCCTGTGTCCAAAGGAACTGGGGAGGAGCAGGATGCGGGCTGCGTTGAGGTATGTGAGCAGTCCTAGGCTGTGCGGAGAAGGGCGGAGAGATACCGCAATCCTTAGAAGTATTATGGGATAGGCTGGGAGATTTGGGGAGGGTCCAGAGGGGAGGAGGTCTGAGGAATTCCCGGTGGCAACGCAAAAGTGATGCAGCAAGCAGCATCCGCGCCCTTTCCTTCCCGCCCCAGCCCGGGTTTGTTCAGTGAGGGCTTCAGTCCGGCGGCCAGGAAGAAGAAAGGGTAGAGGGAAAGAGCCTTTACCTGGCTCTGACGCGACGGGTCCTGGGCCCCCGACTCCGCTTCCCACTCTGAATTCTCCTTCCCTCTCTTCCCCGCCACCCGCTTCTACGCAGTTCGATCCCCTAGTCCCTAGAGGAGCCTCCGCCAACTCCGCAGGACCCCGCCGGGAAGCAGAGCCCACCCCCTTGCGAATCACCGCTCGTTTTCTATCGACCGATGGGGCCTACAGCCAATAGGAATAGCTGATCCCGAGAGGCCAGTAATGAGGAGGCGGGGCTAGCGGGACTTGGAGGTGTGGCTAGCATTATGGAGGCGTAGTCTCAAAAGATGCTCCTCCCCAAGTTGTCGGAACCTAAAGTAAAGTAAAGTAAAATAGGGTCACACTGAGTCGGAATCGACTTAACGGCACACAACAATAACAATAAAAGTAGAATTGGTGGGTGGGATCAAAATGGTACCAACAACCAGCACACACTCTTGAAAGAAGCCACGACCAATTGGATCGGGGTAGAGAGGAGGAGCGTTGCGGAGAATTTTAGCCAATAGAGAGTAAAGACCAGAGGGGACTATAGAACATCTTCCAATAAGATGAGCGAAGGGCGTGCCTGACCACTTTCACTAGGGCGGGAGTAGGAATTTGCCTAAACCCCCAGGAGTGGGCCAATGAGATCGGAGGCGGGGCAAAGCTCGACCAACCATAGAGCGGAGTTTATCTCGGCACCGTTACTGGGGCGGAGCGTAGTCTCCACACCAATAAGATCTCGTCAGAGGAAGGGGGCGTCCCCCTAGAACCTTCCAATGCGGGATATGGGCGAATTCTAGTTCTCCCAATCCGTGCGCGGCGTTGGTAATTCAAACTGACAGTCTGTCGGAAAGGCAGAGAAAACGGAAGAGGGAGCAAAAACGACGTGTTCCGTGACAGAGACCTCAGCACTGACTGAGTTCCAGAAGCAACCTCTTTCTGCCCTCCTCCACTGCCAGCTCCGCGATCTCTCGAGCGACAGCTCCGGGGACATCTGAAGGGACGACAAGGGGCCACGAGGGAGAGCTGAGCGGAGGGAGGACGCGAGCTAACCGCGCGAGAGCGAACACACGGAGGACTAGGAGCTGCCGCGCAGAGAGAAGTACAGCGAGGGTCTGCTGACCGACGAGGATCCCGGGAGAGAGAAAAAGGACTGAGAACCAGGAATTGGTCCCGGCGCTACAATCTGAGCGGATTTCTAAATCCTGGAAAGAGAAGGCGTGGAAAGCGATACAAAGCCGTCGATTCGAGGGTGGGGCGTAATACAGAAAGAGGGGATGTTCTGAGAGAGGAGACTATTTCAATAAAAGACACTGTTACTGGGAAGGTTAAGGGAATCGTTAAAGAGGAGAGGATCCCTTAGTAAAGGAGTTCCCATGCCAGGTTGCCTCCTGCCTGCTTCAAACTCCACTTCCGTCCCCGAAAGTTCAAAAGGAAAGCCAAATTTGCTGCTTCGTCCCTGTCCCTACTCAATAAATATTACCTTTACCCTTGCACCGGGAAAACAGAAAATAACTCATTTTCGTCCCAACTTCAGGCCTAAATATAAATAAATAAAAACCCAAGGCCTAACAACTTGATTTTCAGCCTAAGTGAATCAAACTAGGAGAGACCTTGGTCTTGTTTCCTTTCTCAAAACTCCCACACCACCTCCTGCCTGGGACGGTATGTCAGCTAGCAGTTGTAATTTCAAGGACCGGTGTGTGTCCATCCTGTGTTGCAAGTTCTGTAAACAAGTTCTCAGCTCTAGGGGAATGAAGGCGGTTTTGCTGGCTGATACTGAAATAGACCTTTTCTCTACAGACATCCCTCCTACCAAGTAAGTCATGCTAGTGGTGGGTAGCCTTTAACTAAATGGGAAAAGTGTATGGCTTGGACCTCTGGGAGTCAACAAGGAGCTTATCATCTTGGTGTGCCAGCCGCTGCCAGCCGTCTGATGAGCCCCTTGGAGCATACCTAAGTGGGCAGACTGTTTGGACAAAGTCTGTGGTTTAGCCAAAGTGGGCAATCGTGATGTAATGTTCATAGTTCAATTATAGTCATGTGACTGCGCATCTCTTAAATTAGATCCCTGGCATTGTGTCGCTCCTGGCCCCATCGCAATACACTGGACCAAGTCTATGTATGACCTTGTTGTTGTTGTTGTTGTTAAGTGCCATCGAGTCGGGTCCGACCCATAGCGACCCTGTACAGGGTTTCCAAGGGTGTAAATCTTTACGGGAGTAGAAAGCCTCATCTTTCTCCCGCGGAGTGGCTGGTAGTTTCGAACCGCTGACCTTAAGGTTCGCAGCCCGATTCGTAACCACGAGGCTTTAGTAAATTCAGACAAGATTTTCAGTACTGTTGGACAGGAGAGAACATTTCAGTTCTTCCCTTTGACCCATAAAATATTACACTAAAAAAGTTCATAGTTTTGACCATTGTCCATCTAATTCAATATTCTTTTCTCAAAAACCTTTCTTTTTCCTTGGGAGAAATACTTAACTATGTTTGTATTGGATGAAATAGAGATTTAGCACTAAAATAATCCTTGTGTCCTTTAAAGCCTATTTTGGATATTGATGCATTTCTTTGCATAATTAAACCATATATATATATATATATATATTTACAAGTCCTGATGTGGCACTGTAGGATAACCATAAAGTCTGCAGTTCAAACCCACCAACTACTCCTCAGAAAGCTTATACAGGATTGCTATGAGTCGGAACCAACATTTGTTTTCAGCCACCACTCAGCATAACAATTGACTTAAAGGCAGGGGAGATTTTGATATCCACTTTTGGGTATAGACCTTTAAGAACTTGCTTTCTGTTTGAAAAGTAACCATTTTACTTGATTTAAATGTGCCTTTCTCTCACTCTAAAAGGTATGTTCTGTCTTCATAATTCAAATATATGTATGGTACATGATTGTCAAGATTGAAACTTTATCAGTACAGTGAAAGAGTAATTAGCCAAAATATGGGCGGGCAGTGTCCAATCTTTGGACAGAAAATCAGAGGATGCAGGCTAGTAACCATAATACTTTAAAATTAATTTCACGATAATGATAGAAATTTCAAATTAAAGAAATACTTATATACCCAGGTAAAGCTTTGGACTCTGCCTTCCTTGATTTCTTATCTGAAATGGATTAAATGTGCTTAATACCAGAGTCAAAGACTCTCAATTCTTACAAAAATGCTTGGGCTGATATTTTCAATGTGTGTGTGTTTCGAAAATGAAAAAGGAAAGGCAATACATCATAGAACCTACTTTTGCAAAGGTTGATATATTGTCTTGTTCTTTTTCTTTTTAGTAGCATGTGTGCGAACACACAACACAAATATAAAATATTAACCCATTCATCTTAGCAATCACTTTGGTAAGTAATAAGGCAGTCAATCATACGAAAGACAGTGAATTTTTATAGGTGAGCGCCAGAGCCCAGAATAGACTAGAATCAGACCTTTGCTATTATCTTCTCTCCTTTGAGGGGTTATTATGGTGATGGATTAATGTGCTAAGAAATGTGAATCAATGAACATAAGATTTTTTTTCAAAAGGTAGGCTTTTCATATGTTTATGGTAAGCTTACAAATGCTAACTGGCTCATAAAATACACTAACGGTCCACTTTAGAATCTTTTTTGAGCCAAGTTATTTTTGAGCCACAAAATTTACGGTGAAATTACAAAACTACATTTGACCTATCTCTATTTTTTCCTCTCCAGTGCAGTGGACTTCATTGGAAGATGCTATTTCACTGACATCTGCAAATGTAAACTGAAGGACGTGGCATGTTTAAAATGGTAATATGTGGCAATATTTTAGATAGCCCTGTGTTTGGAAGATGGATATAGATGCTAAAACACAGTGAAAGGTTCAGCGGGCTGTTACGAGTACTGGTTATATCCCATACAATGAGCCATTGAAAAACCATTTGTTAGGTAAAGCTTTAAAAAACAGTCTTTTGATTCTTAACATTTATATATGGTTTTACAGTTTTTTGAAGCGCGTTCACGAATATCTGCTTTAAGTTTCAGAACCAAGCAATGCCATTTTAGTGGGGAAAGCACTTCAATTTACAGTCATAAGAATCAAGATTGAGTCCTGGCCTTGTTCTTACTCTCCATCTGATCTTAAGTAAATTCCTTATATCTCTAAACTTCTGAATCTGTTTCCTTATTTCTTATATTTCTATATAGAATTGTTATAAAGATCAAATGAATCATGAATGCTAAAAGCTTGATAAATTATAAATTGCAACAGAGATGCCAGCTAGTAGTATCATCTTTTAAGAGGTAGATAAACGGTGTTATTATTGGTGTTATTATTCTTACTTTAGAAAGAAAAAAGTTAAAATGTCTTCATTTAAATGTGACTTGGATTGCAAATTTTAATCCTTGTCTTTTAAATTAGCAAACTCTTCTTATGTGCCATTGATTTTTTAACTTCAGGATATTCATTCATTTATTTATTAAGCACCTACCCTGGTGTGGAGGAGTCCTGGTATGGCGCTATGGGTTAATGCGCCAGACTGCAAAGCTGTTTGAACTGCAAGGTTAGCGGTTCAAGCTCTCCAGCCTTCCTCGGAAACCCTATCCAGGGTCGTTATGGGTCGGAACCGACTCGATGGCACTTAACAACAACCCTGGTGTGGGGCTGTGGGTTAATGCGCCAGACTGCAAAGCCGTTTGAACTGCAAGGTCAGCGGTTCTAGCTCACCAGCCGCTCCTCAGAAACCCTATCCAGTTGCTATTGTGAAGTGCCATCGAGTCGGTTCCAACCCATAGAGACCCTGTACAGGGTTTCCGAGGCCATAAATCTTTATGGGAGCAGAAAGCCTCATCTTTCTCCCCTCGAGGGGCTGGTAGTTTCAAACTGCTGACCTTCAGGTTTGCAGACCGACTAGTAACCACTACGCTACCAGAGTTCCTTTCTACTAGGACTCCTATAATATGCAGGTTAATGTGCTGGACTGCAAGGCCGATTTGGACGGCAAGGTCAACGGTTCAAGCTCACCAATCACTCCTCATAAACCATATACAGGGTTGTTATGAGTTGAAAGTGATTCAGACAGCACTTAACAACAACAACCACTATGTTATAAGAGTGAGAATATAAGCAGCAAATGTCTAAGTACCTGGCCTTTGGACATTCTATTCTAGTGAGAAGACAATCAATCAAGAAGATATTTAATTTGGTAGGAAGTGCGCCAAAGGAAATAATAATCAATCATAGAAAATAATAGAGGTTGGAAGGATGGGAGCATAGGTAAGAGCTATTTTAGATAACATGGCCAGGGAAGTCTTCTCATGAAGAGGAAACATTAAAGTTGAGTCCTAAAGGATAAGGAGGCCGAGGAAAAGCAAATGCAAAGAACTCAAGGCAAGAAGAAGCTTAACATGCTCAGGGACAAAGCCATGATGTCAGTGTGGGTGAGGCATCCTGAGCCTGGGGCAGAGTAGTCTGTGTAAATGAGAGAAGCAATAGGAGCTCAGCTCATCTAGAACATCACTGTACAGCAGGATTCAACAAGCTGCATAAGCAATTTAAAATTTTCTAGTAGTCAATGTTTCTAAAAAGTAAAAAGTTTTGGAGGAACTTCAACTCATCTTTGTCTTGAGAAACTGAGTGTTGCTGTTACTAAATAAACACTTATCCAATATACACTGCACATCACCCTCTCAAAACAAGGAAAAAGAAACCGGAAAAATTAATTTTAGTTATACATGTTATTTAGCCTTATACAGGTTTCCCTCGCTATCCGAAAGAGCGATTCCTTAAAACAAAAATGGCGTAAAGCAAAGACGCAATTACCATCCATTGACATAAGGAGTAATTTTGAGCATTCTCAGGCCCAAAACATCACCTAACAAACCTTACAAAATAACATAAAACCTTAAAGTAACACTAACATAGTGTTCTCAAACTATGGCAGCTTGATGCAAAGGAACTTGGTAACATCACACTTGCATGGGTCTGTGCCTATTTACATGGGATCGCTGCTAATAAAACACTTAAGGCTAGTTCAGTTTTTCTCCTTTTTTCATAAAGGCGAAAATCTTCAGATTTCTTTTGGTTACCAAAAACAAGTTCTAATGTAAGTCTTTTGTAAAAGCGAGATGACATAAAATGAACTTTCAAAAAGCGGGAGAAACATGTATGAGGGGCTTCAAAAAGTTAATGGAAAAATTCCAGTATCTTTTCATTTTGTTTTTCCACCAACTTCATTAAAGCCCTCTCATATATTCAAACTTCTATCATCTCTGTAATCAATAACACGAAAATTATTAATGAAACCTGTTGTACATTTTATTACACTTGTTGTTGTTGTTAAGTGCCATTGAGTCCGTTCCAACCCATAGCGACCCTGTATAGGGTTTCCAAAGAGCGGCTGGTGAGCTTGAACTGCCAACCTTTCAGTTCAAATGGCTTTGCAGTCTGGCACATTAACCCACAGTGCCACAGCAGGACTCCTTTATAATTAGAGCACATCCCAGTTCAGACAGCCACATTCTAGTGCTCACAGTCACTTGATAGTGGTTTTGGACAGTTGGTTTTGGTGGTTGTTGTTATATCTCTAGCATCTAGAATAGTGCCTGGTCACATAGGAGATACTCCATCTAGAGAAACATGAGTTGAATGAATGAGTGAGTGAGTGAAAGAATAAATGAATGTAGGTTGTAATTAAAGCTGTGGCATTTAGTCTTACAATATCATTTTACAAATAACTGTCAGTCCTAGTCCAAGAACAACTTCTATTTTCATTTGTTTGTCCTGAAAGCAGGTATGATTAGAAGATATATTTTAGGTGGGCTGGTATTTTTAAAGTATTCTTTATAAGGCCACACAAAAATGACTGACTCCCACATTTTACAGAATGAGACCAAGCTATAATAAGAATTTACAATTCATGGTATAAACAGTTCATGTTGCCATTTAAAAATAAATAAATAAATAAATAAAACTAAAATAGTCTCTGTGTTCATGTTATTTAATATATGACCAGATATTAGTAGAATAATCTGTGATTGAGTGAAGTACTTACAATCCGCTGGATGATACTGAAGACAAAATCTTTTGTAACTTTCTCTAGAGACCATGGTTTTGCTTTCTTTCTGAATTTTTGCAAAAGCACTTAAACTAAAATTAGAACCGCCAGCTTGTGTTTTGTTTACAGGGACTCATGCTGTCTTCCTACTCTTCCATCTGTTGAAACAGTTTTTAGGTGCTGGCATGGAAGTAGAGCATTGTAAGAACCCAACTTGCCCAAGTTATAAGGAAAGAAACATCGTTTTACCTGTAGATTGGAGGTTATTTGACATATTTTGTCTGCACAGCAAATTAATTTGGTGTGCTTTACAGAACAGATCACAACCTAATGGTATCCAGAACCTAGCTTCTGAATGCATAAAAGTTTTCTTTTACTTAATTTAAAGACTAGTTTTCCCATGTAATGGTAAAACTGAAACCATTAACAGAATAACCCCTATTCAGCTATGGATGTTGTTAGGAAAGAATAAGTTCTAAATTATACGGACACTGGAGTCCTGGTGTGACCCTGGAGGATAAGCACTGGACTGCTAGCCACAAGATCAGCAGTTCAAACCCACCAGCCGTTCCTCAGAAACCTTATACAGGGTTGCTATGAGTCAGCATCAACTCAATGACACTTAACAAAAGCAATAGAATTGTATTATCAAATAAAAATGTTTCTATGTATATGGAGTCTAATCGCATTACTTTCTTTTTTAGTGGGAACATTGTAGGCTATCATGTGATTGTTCCATGTAGCTCCTGCCTTCTCTCCTGTAACAACGGACACTTCTGGATGTTTCACAGCCAAGCAGTTTATGGTATTAACAGACTAGACCCTACTGGTAAGAAACAATTGATTCAAACATCCCTCTAACATTTCTCTGTTGTATACTGCAGTGAAACTCCCAATAAGTCATTTTAGAATGACTCCCTCTTATTAGCTGGGTGTGATCAGATAGAGTAAAACTTTAATGATGTTTTTTCCCAAACATTTTCGTATGCAGATGATTAGCCAAAATTCATTACCATTTTTATGTTCATCACTGTATTTAAGAGCTCCACCTTGGCTGGGTTTCTTGGTCTTTTTACACTGATACCTTAATTGTTCTAAGCTGCTGTCTTGGTACATATTCTGACTCCAAAGAATGTTTAAAGACTTTAGACTTAACAATCACTTAATTGTGTGTGTCTGTATGTGAGCCAGAGAAAGGGGGTGGTTTGGGTGGACGTGAGAGGTAGTGGCAGAAGAGGAGAACTATATCCCTCTGTATTTGGTGATACTTGATGCATGATAAAAATAGACATTTTAATATCTAGCCTCCTAATTTGTTTTTGATCCATGGGAAATATTTAACTCCACCATGTTAATGCTAATTATTTTTATTAAGAAAATATAGTATAAATCCTCAAAGAATATTTACATAAAACAGTTTATACTGTTTGGAGTCAACCAGTTTTGTTATAGGATACACTTTCTCAATGTCTAATTTGTATTTACATAACCAAGTTGACTTTAAAGAACTTGACAATGTAAGTTGGCACTAATGCTCTCAGGCTTGTAAATGTATTGTTCTTGATCTTTGGAACTTAAAGTATGTTCCCTTTTTTTGGTTTGTTGAAAGTATGATTTATCTCCATGGTCTTTAAACCTTCCAATTATACTTAAATGTTTATATATATATATATGTGTGTGTGTGTGTATATGTACACATATACGTTGTTGTTGTTGTTAAATGCCGTCGAGTCGGTTCCAACCTATAATGACCTTGTATAGGTTTCCGAGGAGCAACTGATGAGCTTGAACAGCCAACCTTGAAGTTCAAACGGCTTTGCAGTCTGGCGCATTAACCCACAGCGCCACACCAGGACATACATATACATATACATATACATATACATATACATATACATATACATATACATATATATATATATATTGTTGTTGTTGTTACGTGCCGTGGAGTCGGTTCTGACTCATAGCGACTCTGTACAGGGTTTCCAATGCTGTAAATCTTTACCGGAGCAGAAAGCCTCATCTTTCTCCCGCAGAACAGCTGGTAGTTTCGAACTGCTGACCGTAAAATTAGCAGCCCGATTCGTATGCTACCAGAGCTCCATATATATATCACCTGGGACTCAGCTTAATTTAAGACTCTGGTATGTTAAGAAGGCCATTTTCTAGCAAGGGCTTATCTGAACTCTCCTAAATGGGGCATAGATACATTAAAGGAAGCTTCTGCTTTGATATTGTTTTTCCTGCTTTAGAGAATTCGAAACACAGGGTGGAGAGTTTTCTATTTTGATTTACTTTTTAATATTGGTAAATTTTTAACAGATAAAAGCCCAGCATTCTACCATTCACGTTGAATCTAATCCGTGAGAAACAGATGGATCACAGGATTTCCTTCCTCTCCTCTTAACAGAGAAAGGAAGGGGCTGCTCCTGTCACATCCACTCTGCTAGTTTATTTTCTCTCTTTTGAACCAATTGTGCTGAGCCACTTCGTGTCTCTGAATATTGACTCCAAGAATACCAAACTTCTCTTTTGTCACCCTAATACTGTGAATGAAAGTAAGATTTTCTAGATGCTTGGTATAAAAGGTAGTTTCTTATAAACACATTGGAACTGTCCACAAATCACCTGAGTCAGCAGCATCAAAGGAATACACACACATGTTTTATAAAATCCTAGAATGTTTATACCGAAAAGAGCCCCACAAGGTCTGTGTTCTAGTCTATGTTCCACATTTAGACTTGATTTCCAGAAATTGTCCCTGTAGAAACGTGGAAAACCTCCACTCAAATTCCCTGATATTGGTAAATACCCTTAAAGCCAAATTGGCTTCAGATTTGCATTTACCTTTTTTTTTAAAAAAAACAAAACACTTTTTATTGTGCATTGAGCGAAGGTTTACAGAGCAGATCATCAGTTTTACATTGCATTTACCTTTAAGGGTTCTAATTTTCCTACATTTTGGCTTAATAATTTCTTACTATCCTGTCTGTTCTTCAATACCATATTACCAGAAGCAGAATACCACTCATTCTTGGGGGAAACAAAAATTAAAGTGGTTTTTAAAAAATTATTAGACAATCTAAACACACAAAAATTTCCAGCAAATCAATACCTGTACGCTAGGCATTGGACTGCAAAGGTAGTTTGAACTGCAAGGTTGGAGGTTGAAACCTACAAACTGCTCCTCAGAAACCCAGTACAGGCCGCTATGAGTTGGAACCAACTTAATGGCACTTAACAACAACAACAACATATCCTCAGCAGGGGCAAATAGATGCTAACTTTTTGCCTGGTTAAATTCCAGTATCTCTGTCAACAAAAAGAGACAGTTGTTTCCCACCATCTCAAGAACACAGTAGTGGGCTTCCTTGTACCTGTCTCCTTGGGAATCTGTTCAAGATGGACAGTTAGAGAAAGGGATAAATGATGGACCATATTTGCAATGTGTTGTTATTCCCATAATGGAAACTCTTCAGAAAGAAAATAAATGAGGTATATGAGCTAAGTCTATACATATCAGCATAGGTAAACCTCAAAAACCCAATGCTGAGTGAAAAAAAGCTAATTAGAGAAGATACATATAGTATAATACTATAATTTCATTAAAAAGTTAAATACATAGTGCATTAATATGTGAATATGATCTGTGTTGCATACATTTGTAGTAAAATTAGTAAAAGCATCCATGACATACAAAGAAAGATAAGTGAAAAAAGTAATGCTGTAAATTCATGTTCTGTTGTTAAGTGCTATCGAATTGGTCCTGACTCATAGTGACCCCAGATAGGGTTTCCAAGGATTAGATGGTGGGTTTGAGCCGCCAACCTTATGGTTAGCAGTCCAGTGCTTATCCCACAGTGCCACACTAGGACTCCATATAAAATCATAAATACCTTTACTAAATATAAATATCAAAATGTGAAGCTGCTGCTTCTTGACATATTCTCTATCTAGGTCTATATATTTCTGAAGGTGGTGTTTCCATCTCTCAACTCCTTCCCTGAGGAATTCTGAGTTGCTGAGTCATCCTTGTTCCACACCGACAGCTGGACAGCTTTTCTTTTTAAACATCAGTAACTTTCTTGTTGTGAAGTCAATTCCGACTCATAGGGACCCTATGCATGGTTTCCGAGGAATGGGATTTCTTTCATTTAGTGTTTTCAAGTTATAGTATAGTACTGATATGTGGCCAACATAACTATCTCATAATCCTCTACTATATGTTTGCTCTTACACTATCTAAGAAATTTGACTATCCTTTCTCAATGAGATTTTCGATTGCTGTGTATTAGGCTGACTGCTACAACTTCATCCTAAAGTTTTTAGCTTTGCCTTGACAGCCTTCCTTTATTCTAGCCCCCAAAGCACCAAGATCAAGAAACTGCAGTTCATATTATAACTGTCTCTGAAATATTGCAAAAAAAAAGGCTTATTGAGGAAATGAGATTTATTCAAAGTCCATTCCCTGATCCTTCCAAAAAGAAAGCACTAATCTAAAAGGATCCTCTAAGATCTCCATTCTTAAAGCTCATTCAAACAGACCAGCACATTATCACTTAAGAGTGATTATGGCATAGAATGGTGGTGGTGGAGGTTGTGTGCCATTGAATCAGTTCCTGTATACGATTTCCAAGGCTGTCCATCTTTACGGGAGCAGAAAGCTTCATCTTTCTCCCATGGAGCGACTGGTAGATTCAAACTGCTGCCCAGCTTGTAATCTATTATGCTACCAGAGCCCCTTATGGCATAGTTTAGTGGACTGATCCTTTTGAGTACTAAGATTTTAGAATGTAAGCTTTCTCTTTGAAATGGTGTAAGTAATTTTTGTGTCCTAACAACTGTGGTTTAATAGATGAATGTTAAATGTTTATATATCTAAGTTGCCAGCACTAAATAATTTTCTGATTTTTAAAATTTTTTTATTTCCAGGTGTAAACGTCCTACTCTGGGGCAATTTGCCAGAGGTAGAAGAGAATATAGATGAAGATATTCTAGATGTCTCTGAAGAAGAGTGCATTAGATGAACAGAATTATGATATACATAGTGTTCAAATCTTTCCTTATTTAAAATGTTTATTAATATACATATACATGGACTTTAAAATTGTTAGTAAGGATTTGCTAGTGATTTCTTAAAGCAAAAATAGAGCGTTTGTTGATTTATTTATTTGCGATCTCAAATTAAGTACCTCCATTTAATTTGAGCCAATGAAGTTGTTGTGCCTTCTCTGTCTTCCCTTCCTGCTTTCCCTTGACCATCATGAGTGTGTTCTTAGATTCAGATAGAAGACTATTTTACATGTCACTCACTACCTCCTATTCTAAGAGAGTTTTTCTTATAACTTGATACCAGATATGATTAATTTTACATCGCTGTATAAGGACTACTAGTACTCATGAGCCATAGTTCAAACGCAACTGAGTATTAATGGGGGTGTGTGTGTGTGTGTGTGTGTTTATAAACAAGCTATTAGGTTTCCATGGATACAGTTTGTCGTGTTATATTGGTGATTACTTTAAATGTAGAACAGCACTTCATGAATCATCAAATAGAGTATATCCAAACTTGCAAATGTGCAGAGGTGTCGTCAGCATGATGATATTGTTATCATTGTTGTTAAGTGCCGTCGAGTTGGGTTCTGATTCATAGTGGTCCTCTATGGGGATTCTGAGTCTATAGATCTTTGTAGGAGTAGAAAGCCTTATCTTTCTCCAGATTATGATATTAGGTCAGAAAATTACCAATATATACTGTTTACCAATGTTATTTATTAGCATTCTGCTAAAGCCATTATGGAAATCTGGTGTGGCGCTGTGGATTAATGCGTTGGACTGCAAAGTTGGTTTGAACCACAAGGTTGGCGGTTCAAACTCATCAGCTGCTCCTCGGAAACCCTGTACAGGGTTGCTATTGGTCAGTACTTACTCAACAGCACTTAAACAACCACAACAAAAAAGCCATTTTTAACATTGTTGTTTAAACAACAACCACAACAAAAAAGCCATTTTGGACTTTGTATTATGAAAGCCAAAAAAACTAGCCCTTCGTCTTTAAATTGTCCTATTCCCTAGGGCCTTCCCTGTCAATAATATTATAGACGAGTAGTCCCAGTCTCATCTCTTAATAGAAAAATAAATAAATAAATAAATGATTTGTTTAACCTATTGTACATTAAACAGTTTTGTTGTTCTTTTAAGGTGCACTCAGAGCCAAACAGTAATAGTAAAACTGGGATAGTGTTGAGTTCTGGTTATCTGTAAAGCTAAAATCTTTACATTTTCTTAGCTAATATTGCAACTGTAGGCATTTTGTCAATAGTGATACCAAAGCATACTGAGTTATGGTTTTATAAATAAAGTTTGTTCTAAAAGTGATCCAGTCGTCCTTTAATTTTTTTTTTTATTATATCCAATTTCTTTGGTAGCATAGGACATAGGGGAGTCCTTGTGTGGTGCTATAGGATAAGCACTGGACTGCTAACCATAAGGTCGGAGGTTCAAACTCAGCAGCTGCTCTTTGGAAACCCTATATAGGTCCATGAGTTGGAACCAACTGCACGGCACTTAACAACAACAACAACATAGGATATAGGAGCAATCATTTGTTGAGTGCTTACCTTGTGCCGGGCAATGTTCTAAGTGCTTTATATATTTAATTCACTTATTCCACACAACAAACCCATGAGGTGTGCTGGTATCTGTGTGTCACTAAGACAGTTCTTATGCCTGGCAGCACTGGATAAGGTTTCCTAGGCTGTAAAATCTTTACAGGAGCAGGAAGCCTCATCTTTCTCCCATGGTCACTACTGACCTTGTGATTAGCAGCCCAACTTGTAATCCATGACACGGCCTAATATCAACTTCCATGAGGTATGCCGTTAAGTATTGTTGAGTCAGTTTCCAGTCATAGCAACCCTGTATAGGAGTAGCTAGTGGATTTGAATTGCTGACCTCATGGTTCCAAGTCCAGTGGTTTGTCTGCAGCACCACACCAGGAGTCTATGAGGTATAGGTACCATTCTTCTTCTTTTTTTTCACTGATAAGACATGTGAGGCATACAGCAGTTAAATAACTGGTCTAAAGTCACATAATTGGTAAGAGGTGTGACGAGATTGAACCTCAGATTGATGAACTTCAAAGCTACTACTTTTAACTTATATGCTAAACCAGACCCCTGACCACCTCAGGACTGGAAATCAGTTGTGATCTTACTTGGAGTCCTGGTGTGATGCTTTCAGATAAGTACAAGGTTGATGGTTCAAACCCACCACCCTCTCCCCCAGAAAACCTATACAGGGTCACTAATGAGTAGGAACCAACGGGAAGGCACTTAACAACAACACAACAAATGATCTTACTTAGCAAGGATACCTATTGGGTGACTTCACTCTTACGTACAGTAGATGAGGGCGGAAGTGGCTGACTGATTTCAAGACTGAACACACTCTTACTGGATCTTGGGGTAAAAGTGGCCTGTTGACATTTGACAGAATCATTTGCTGTAAATGAAGATAAAAGGTGTCTAAGCCGGATTCAGATGAGGATTTGGAACAAGGGAGATCATTGCTGATGACACATGGATCTTGGCTCAAAGCAGAGAAAATCAGAGAGACGCTTATTGACTATGCAAAGGCTTTCAATTGTATGGATTATGACATACTATGGATAACATTGCAAAGAATGGGTATTCCAGAACACTTCCTTGTGATCATGAGGAACCTGTACATAAACCAAGAGGCAGTTATTCAAATATCTGAGGATACCATGTGGTTTGAAATCAGAAAAGGTATGCACATGGTTGTATTATTTTATCACATCTATTGAATCTGTATGCTGAACAAATAATCCAAGAAGCTGGATTATATGATATGAAGAGGAACATGGCATCAGGATTGGAGGAAGACCCATTAACAATATGTAGATGATACAACCTTGCTTGCTGAAAGCCAAGAGGACTTAAAACACTTACTGTTGAAGATCAAAGACCACAGCCTTCAGTATGGGTTGCACCTTAATGTAAACAGAAAAAAGAATCCTCACCACTGGACCAATAAATAATATCAGGATAAGTAAAGAAAAGATTGAAATTGTCTAAGAATTCATTTTCAAAGATGTCAGTTTGAGGACTACTGTGCACCTGATCCAAGCCATGGTACTTTCAATAACCTCATATGCATATGAAAATTGGACAATGCATAAGGAAGACTGTAGAAGAATTAATATATTTGAATTGTAGTGTTAGAAAAGAATATCCAAAGTACTATGGATTCCCAGAACAAACAAATCTGCATTGAAAAAATACAGCCAGAATGCTCCTTTAGAAGCCAGACTGACCAAATTTAGTCTCTCGTACTTTGGGCATATTTTTAGGAGGTGTAAGGTCAGCAGTTCGAAACTACCAGGTGTTCCATGGGAGAAAGATGAGGCTTTCTGCTCCCGTAAAGATTTACAGCCTTGGAAACCCTGTACAGGGACGCTGTGAGTCAGAACCGACTCCTCAGCACTTAACAACAACAGGTAGTCCCTGGAGAAGGACATCAAGCTTGGTGGAGTGGAAAGTCAGAAAAAAAGAGGGAGACCCCTAACTAGATGGATTGTCACAGTGGCAGTAGCAATGGGCTCAACCATAACAAAATGGCACCTAACAACAACAACAGGACCTGGAAAAATTTCCAAGTACTTTGCATTGGCTGACAGCATTGATAGAAGGTCACTAAAAGAAACAAAAACAAAACCCCAAAGGATGATTGTAGAACCATTTGTGTTTAGATTTGATTTGTTTCTTTAACCTCCTTTAAATATTTTCTGAAACAAGGTGGGCATCATGGATAAAACAAAAAAATTAATGGATATCACATTATATAAGTCTTTAGTTAACTTATTTAATTAAAGAAGAAATGTTTAGTGCTAGAGTAAAGAATATAGCAACACAGTTCATCTGGTTTAAAATTCAACACAGTTCATCTGGTTTCCGCTCAGCTCATGCCTTCAAAGGCTTAGATTGACTGAGGGGCTCTTTGAAGAGCAAAAGCAAGACAGAGGTGCACTGATTGAAGCATGCCCCAAATGTGATTCCACTCCAGCTGGAGAATATTTTAAACTATTCAGCCAAGTTTTAGGAAAGTCAATTCTAAGCAGAAAACTGATTAATAATGTTTTATCTAAAGAAAAGCATCCATGACGCTGGGGTTTTCTTTGCTGTTTTGTTGTTGTTGTTTTTTTAAAATAAAAGCAAGCTTCATGTGCTTTGTGGAGCAGTGGTTAAATGCTGGGCTGCTAACTCTAAAGCCTGTGGTTTGGACCCAATAAGCCACACTGTGGGACAAAAATGGGGCAATCTGATTTCAAAAAGATTTACAACGTTGGAGATCCTATGGGATGAGGTAGTTCTACTCTGAACTATCGGGTCGTGACGAGTCAGAACTGACAAAAAGATAGCAGATTTGTTTTTTGATTTTGGAAAAACCAAGAGCAGAATCCCATTTATGGGTTTGGTATACTTATCAATCCTACCATACTTCCTAGACAATCCATCTAAACTTTGGCCCTCTTCTATTTAATTCAATTCAACAAACCTGTACTATGCTCCTATAACATATCAAGAGCTTTGCAATGACAGACTGGGTTCACATTTGCCTTCAAGGAGTTCACAGTGAGTTGAAGAGGAAATAGACTCTGATGAGTCTATCTAATTCATTGCATTAAATGATTTAACAAAAGCATGTTTAAAGTGCTATGACTCCGTAGTTGAAAAAACAATCATTCTGAGTAGAAAGAAAGTAGGTGTTGAGGAAGCTACAGAGGAAAAATGATATTTAAACAATGTTTTGAAACACAGGAGTTTGCCATCTGGGACGAGTGTTCTGGGCAGAGAAAATAAGGTAAGCAAATGAATGGGCATTTCAACAGTATCTGTTGTATTTGGGACATTATAAGTAAACCCCCCTCCCCGCCCCCTGCCACACACACACACACACACACACACACACACACACACACACACCTTCTGACTAGAAGCCCTGG